ATTGTGGTCACTGAGCTGGTACCAGAAGACAGGGTCATGTAGCAGCTCTTAGAGACAGAAAATAGAATATTGTTTTCAAAGGCTTGTAAGTGGATAAGAGCTATTAAAAACATCAATCAATTTAAAGAAAATATTGAATGGCATAAGCAAGATGCTATACTCAGTTCTGGGGGGATTTAAGAAAAGTTCAAGATATAGCTCTCGCATTACATTTACAGCAGTGAGCCTAGCTTGACAGCAACACCTACTAAATTAGGGTAGTAGTGAAAATCTGAAGCACAAGAACTAGTTATACAAAGAGAAGCTGGCATAGAACAATTCCCTTAGAACACCCGCATCAGTGTTATCAACTCTACTTCCTTTTTGCTCACTTTCCAGATTGTTCCATCAGCATCTTATTCCCCCCAGCTCACTCCCCAATCATCTATTATTAAGCAGCAAATGAAAAAGGTGAAAGCAGATGCCTACTCCCTCCTTCAAAAAGATATTACTGTTTTCCCTCCTTCAACTAAAAACGCTTTATAGAACACAAAGAAAGCCACCACTTGCAATGCCATCATCTATAAAGGGAACGGGTTCCATTCCTGACTGTTCCACATCTGACCCAGCTCATCGCCGGCACCCATGTGGAAGACCTGGACGGAGTTCAAGACTCCTAGCTTCAGACTGGTCCAATCCTGTCTCCTCTGAGAACCAGCAGATAGAAGCACGCACCCCTTCACTCTGGCTGTCTATATTTGCCTAGTAAATACAAGATAAAAAAATACAAACTGGGGTGGAGTTCAGGTAAGTCTGAGCAGCAGCACGGGTGTCTGGATCCCCCAGCCACGTAGCTGTGTTTGGGGGAACCAGGCCAGTCTTCCTGCTAGGGATCCTGGCTACCCATCCACTGCTGCTGAGCGAGGGGAAAGTCCTGGACTTATTCAAGCCCGAGGTCTGAGAATTTTCTACGTCCACAGCGACCACACTGTGGATGGATCTAGGAGGGCTCTCGCCATGCACAGGACCATGGCTCCGCCCACCACTACCATGTTGGTGGGAGGAGTTCAGGTAAGTCTGAGCAGTGGCATCGGTGTCTGGTGTCTGGACCAGGCAGGGCAGAACAAACCACAGCCCACTGGCAAGTACAGAAACCAGGACGGAGTGCAGGTCATGCCAGGTTAGGCTGCCATATCTACGGTTTGCATGATTCAAGGATGAGAGCAGACTGAGCAGGCCAGGTTGCAGCACCTGCCAGCAAGAGTTAGGACTGGGGACCGGCTGGGGAAGGCCAGGCTACAGCATCTAAAGTCAAAGGCCAAGACAGGGGAGGGACTATGCCAAGCTAGGTCAGCAATCACTGGCATGCGCGAAATCTGTGGCTGAGATCAGGCCTGGTTGGAGAGCTAAGGGGATGCTTTGGCTGGGTTGTGGTTCCCACTGGAGAATACTGGGGCTGGAGTGGGGGCTGCTGTCTAGTCCGGGCTTGCAGCAGTCTCCTACACATGTGTGTGAACTGGGTCTAAGGTGCTCCAGACTGGGCTTGACTCCAGCACCCACTGGTGATCGTGAGAACCAGGGTGGGTACAGGACTGGCTAGGCTAGATGTCTGTCCCTGTTGAGCTATGTGTAGGCTGTGTCAGGATGTAGACCAGGCTTGGCTGGGCTATAGTACCCAACAGCAAGAACTGGAATGGGTGACAGCCAGTCAAGAAAGGTCACTGCTAGGACAGGAGGTGGACTATGTAGGGCTGGCCAATGGACCCACCAAAGGGCGGGAGATCTGGCATTTAGAGAGGCTCTGATGGAGGAGCTTGGGGAACTCCTCTGTCGGGACACAGTTGTTGCAGGTGAGCACAAGAACCAAGAAAGGGAGCAGCCCAGACCAGGCCAAGTTATGGTACCCAGAAGCTTACCTTTGGCTCAGGTCTGGGGCGAGTCTGTCGGGGCCAGTTCATTATCACACAGTGGCAAATCCGAGAGCCAAAATGGTGTGTGGGTCTTGCCAGGTTGGGCCACAGTACCAACTAATTCACATTAGGGCTGGGACTGGAAGCTGCCTGGGATGTAGTCCCTACCAGTGTGAGCTGGAACGGGGGCGGGCCAGTCCAGGCCAGGCTACAGCAGCCACTGGCAAATGATGAGGTGAGGCAAGCCATGCCAGACATGCCAGACAGTGCCCAACCAGCATATAACACTCGGAGGAGAGTGGGCGAACCCAGTGTGAGGGCTGCAGGGAGCATCCCTGCTGGACCACTATTCCCACTGGTCAGCATGAGAGCTGGGTTTAGGGACAGACCAGGCCAGTAGGGGTATAACACGTGTTGGTCCGCCATGTAAGCTGGATCGGGGACAAGCCAGGCTGGGCAGACTGTTCCTACTGGCACATGCATAAGCCAGAGGGGGTGAGGGATTGATTGGCTTTGCCACAGCATCAGCTAGCAAATGCTGGCATGGGGGAAAACTCTGTCAAGCTCAACTGCAGTACCCCCTGGAGAGTGCAAGATCCAGGAGTGGGAGTGAGCCCAGCAGGGAAACAGTGGGCACCTCCATCTTGGGTTGCCATTCTGACTGACGAGCATGAGAACCAGGACTGGGGCGGTCATGGCTAGATAGAGAGTCGCATCCACCAGCACATCCAGGGGCTAGACAGGGGGACTGGTTAGGGTGAACTAGACCTCAATGCCAAATGACATGTATGAGAGCTGAATGGGATGTGTGATAGACTGGACCAGTCTGCCATACATACTGGCAACAGGGCAGTGGGTGGACCTGGTGGGCATTATTGCGAGTCACTCTGAGTAGGCTACAATTCCCACAGGTTTGCATGGGGGTCAGGTGTGCAGTGGGCAGGATTTGCCTGGGCTGAAACACCCATTAGTTTGTGTAGAAGACTGGGTTGGAGACAGAACTGCCTCAGCAATTGCAACCACCAGCATATGCGTATAAACTGATTGGGGTGATGTGCTGTGCCCAACCCTGTATCAGCAAGCACACATAAGAATCAGGTCTGGGATCACCTGAGATGAAGCTTCTTTGGGAATCTCCCCAACTGAACCACTGGACTCAGAATTCCAACCATGGAGAAAATTGCAAGTTCAATAAATAAATTAAAAATCGTAGGTTCCATGGTCTGACTGCAGAATGCATGTTTCAGAGCTGGGCCGCCTCAGTGGCTCAGACGGAGCAGTGGACAGCATATTCAGATGCACATGAAGAAGATGGCAGTACATTGGAACCTGCAGAGGACACCTGATACCACAACAGAGCACAGAACAAATGGATCAACTACCCCAGCCAAGAGTTGGCAGTGAATACCTGGGCAAATGAAGACTCTAAGGTGGACTGTCAGCCAGTGGAGTCTGAAGAGATTACATCATGACTGCAGTGGCAAGATCGGCAGCAATACAGAACTGCTGAACTATCAAAACCACTTGAGCAGGGGCCCAGCACTGTGGCCTAGTGGCTAAAGCCCTCACCCTGAATGCCCGGGATCCCATATGGGCACCAGTTCTAACCCCAGCAGCCCCATCTCCCATCCAGCTCCCTGCTTGTGGCCTGGGAAAGCAGTCGAAGGACTGCCCAAAGCCTTGGGACCCTGCACCCACATGGGAGACCCGGAAGAGCTCCTGGCTCCTGGCTCCTGATCGGCACAGCTCTGGCCATTGCAGTCACTTGTGGAGCGAATCATCAGATGGAAGGTTTTCCTCTCTGTCGTTCCTCCCCTCTCTATATATTTGACTTTGTAATAAAAACAAATAAATCTCAAAAAAACAAAACACATGTGCAGGACTCACAGAGCATGACCCACATCAAAGACCCTGGCATCCTTGGGAGGCTGCGTGTGGCTCCTCCCCTTACCTCTCCCCTCCCTCCAGACACAGGAAAGATAAAAGAGAATATGAAAACAATGGTCTCACCCACTTTCCTCTAGTTCTTAACTCTTTGCACCTTAACCAAAATTTATCAAAAATACAATTTATATAATGAAAAAATATATATAAGCTACTACTCATAAAGGAAAAATCAACATTCTTGGAAATCCAAATTTTTCCTGGTTTATGGTACAAAAACGAAACTGCTAAGTAATGTCAACTCTTCAATGAAAAGAGAACCTTGAGGAGAAAATATAGGTGAAAAGACAAGTGCAGGGGCCTGGTGCAGTAGCTCAGTGGTTGAAGTTCTCGCCTTGCATGCACTTGGATCCCATAAGGACATGGATTCGTATCCTGGGTGCCCTGCTTCCCATCCAGCTCCCTGCTTGAGGCCTGGGAAAGCAGTCGAGCACAGCCCAAAGCCTTGGGACCCTGCACCCGCGTGGGAGCCCCGGAAGAAGCTCCTGGTTCCTGGCTTCGGATTGGCTCAGCTCTGGCTGTTGTGGCCACTTGGGGAGTGAATCAGCGGATGAGAGATCTTCCTCTCTGTCTCAGTTTCTCCTTTCTGTATGTCTGATTTTCCAATAAAAATAAATAAATCTTAAGAAAAAAATACAAACTACAGAAAATTTTTTTTGTAAACATTTATTTACTTGAAAGGCAACATTAGAGCAAGGAGGAAGAAAAGGACAAAATGAGATCTTCCAACAGCTGATTTGTTCCCCAAATGGCCGCAATGGCCGGAGCTGGGCCACACGAAGTCAGGGGCTTTGTCTGGGTCTCCCATGTGGTTACAGGGACTCAAGCACTTGGCCTATCTTTTGCTGCTTTTCCAGGCATACTAGTGGGGAGTCGGTCTAGAAGTGGAACAGCTGAGACTTAAACTGGGGCCCATAAAAGATGCCAGCACTGCAGGATACAGCATAACCCATTACGCCACAGCACCAATCACTGCAGAAGAAACTGTAATGACCACTTAGACTGAGTATCTAGTCAGCTTTGACCACAGTAAGTGGTCATACTTTACAGGTAACTCGACTGAAAAACAACTTTAAGACAGAGTACCCTTCAGTTGTACAGGGAACGCAAATCTGAAATCTGTTTTGTTTTGTTTCTTTTTGCTCAGGCCAAGTGAGAATGACTTACGGAGTTCATTTCCTTCACTGAGAATCTCCACCCGGCGCACAAGCTGCTCAAAGAGATTCCGCAGATTCAGCATCATAGTATCCATGTTCCTGCCAAGAAATCAAACATACATTAGGGGTCCTGCTCTCGCTCCCCTTCTCACATACAATCCAGGTCAGCCATCAGTGGCAAACATCTGGACTGTGGTTAGTCGCTGCCATTACAAGATCTGAAACCAGTAACTGATGCCGCATGTCAAAGCGAAGACTCCTTTAAAAATTAGTAAATCAAAAACTATAATAATAATAACAACAACAATAATAATAATAATTAGTCAACTGCTTCAGCCTCTGCCTGCTGTGCAATCCTTCCCAGACTGGGAAAGAAGCAAGCGGGGATAAGCAGGTTGATTACTGTGCGACCAGCTACAAACTGTGGTTCTTTCAGTCAAGCCCACTGATTAATGGAACACTTCTGCCATTTTAATCTGGACTTTGAAGACTTAACAATGTAACTGAAAAGATTTTTTTTTAAATTTCATTTTGAGCTAATGCCCCTGTCACAATGCCTTTGAAAGGCAGGACTTGGTCAGCACATTTCCTACCAACAGCACCGATGATGTCACGGGAGTGATTAAGTGGGGAAACTGCCAGCTCAGCAGCACAAGCATTAGTTCCGTAATGCAGGCTTCTCTGCGGACGGCACGAGGGACCACATCTAATAAATTTGTGCTAAGTAGAAGCAAAGGATTATGTTGTTCCACATTGTGGCCTCATAGACAATACAGCACCTTCACAGCAAGGGCAAAGGAAAACCACCGAGTTCTACAGCAGTTCCAGGCTTCCCGCACCCCTCTGCCCGGGGCCTACGGAGCTGCGTGAAAAACAGCGTCCTCCCATTCTGTCGTGAATACACCCTCCCAAGAAACATTTGGAGAAAAACACTTCATTTAATTGTCAAGAAAGACATTACCCGAGTGGTCTCAAAATTATCAAGAAATAAAAAGTCAAATTTCACTTGAAAAATGAATGTCCTCTGAAACGCTATGAAAGGATTCCTTTTACATCTTCCTACTGGCCGCTCTTCCAACATAATGCAGACCCTTATTCATGCATCTAAATAGAATTTTAAGAATTCTTTTGTGAAGGCTCTGTGATTTTGGAATGTTTATAAGGTTGTACCACGAGCTATGAGAGAAACGGAAAACGGAAAACCACAGAAGACACCAGAGTATTTCAATAAAATACTACTACTTACTAAATACTACAGAGTAATTCATTTGTACACGTGTGATGATTGTTTTAATAGCCCAAAAAAGCTTCTAATTCCAGATTTGGATGTAACATACCTGAATCAGGGCTGGAAACCAAGATTTTCTCTGCCAAGCTACACAATCACAGCAAGCTGCTAAGCAACCAGACCAACAAATGTATTACAAAGATCATTCTATAAACTAAGAACAAAGCTAAAAGAATAGCATTAAAACTGGCAGAAAGATCTGGAAGTCATGGAGATGCCCTGGGTCTAACAAAACAGGTCAGCACCCCCAAGCGCATCAGGACAAGCAAAGGCAGGACACTCCGTAGTCGAGTCAAAGCATCATTTCCTTTGGCTCCCAGTAAAACCGAAGACACTAATGAGTAGTTCCAGTAAGCGGTATTGATTCTATCACTTCCACATTTCATTTGCAGATTCTGAGACAGTGAGCTTGGAATCATAAGAAAACTATTAGTTGGGCCCGGCACGGTAGCCTAGCAGCTAAAGTCCTTGCCTTGCATGTGTCGGAATCCCATACAGGCGCCTGTTCTAATCCTGGCTGCCCCACTACCCACCCAGCTCCCTACTTGTGGCCTGGGAAAGCAATCGAGGATGGCCCAAAGCCTTGGGATCCTGCACCTGCATGGGAGACTTGGAGGGGACTCTGGGCTCCTGGCTTCAGATCAGCTTAGCTCTGGCCGTTGTGGCCACTTGGGGAGGGAACCATCAGACAGAACATCTTCCTCTCTGTCTTTACTCCTTTCTGTGTATCTGACTTTCCAATAAAAATAAATCTTTTTAAAAATAATAATTTTTTTAAACTGGGGACCATGTGGAGATAGCCTAGATTTGGGCCATACTCAACCGCTTTCCCAGGCCACAAGCAGGGAACTGAACAGGAAGTGGAGCCACCGAGGCAAGAACCGGCACCCATATGGGATCCTGGTACATGCAAAGCAAGAACTTTAGCCACTAGACTACCATGCCAGGCCCTTCCCCTGGGTTCTTTATCTACCACTCCCTCCAGTGAAGGTTGGAGCCACTCTTCTGAAATCACAACTTCAGTATTGGAACAACAAAGGAACAGAGGGTCCAGGGTAGTGGGGGGGGACCACCCTGCCACAATCACCGGTACAGTGCAACTTGTGCAATCCACGTGGTACTCCTTCAATGATGCCCAATACCTAAGGAGACAGCTGTCCAACTAAACCAATGCTCTATTACACAGCAACGAAGAGCGGACCCTCACAGCCTCCACATTCAGTTTATATACAGTCTGATTATTGATTTTCTTTATTCTTTCCTCTCAACAAACATTCCCTCAAGTTCAAACTTCTGACCTCAAAGTACCTACCACTGTCCTTTCAGACTGAGCTTCTCTGCTAACTTCAGTCCAACAGCTTTCAACCTGCTTCGAATATCCTACATTTTGAACTGAATTTTAAGATGCTGTCCTCCCTTTCTCCTTCCTAAACGTCTACCCTACCTAATGAGCTACCGTGGCCCCTGTCCCGACCCTCAGTAACTCCCTTACCCATAATAACCAAAGCGTGGACACTTCTTCCATGCCCATAGGACACCCTCCTCCCTGTCGCCTGCAGGCTGTCACTGCTCACGTCAAGCGACTGCCCCCAGTCTTTCCTCTCAGGCACACTTTAACTCTGCCCTACTTGTATGCCCTGTGGCCAAGGGGACTGCACATTTATGGAGAGGAACTTTACATCCGGGACTGCTGTGTTACACACACGCAGCATTTAATATGATGCTTACACATAAAACATTTGATATTTAGAAATCAGAAAACATGAGCATGCACATATGCATATACCTATGATGCTGTCAAAATAAATGTCCATTCTCCTTCATCATGGATGCATAAGTCAGACTCAAACAGAAGGAACCACTAAGGGGCTAGCGGCACAAGTCCGACATCAGGTTTCTGCTCCTGACTGCAAGTAATAGAACACTTCCCAAGTCCCTTCAGCCCTGAGACCCTCCTGCACAACAGGAACAACCTCTGCCCTATTTACCTCAAGAAATTTTACAATTTAACGTAGGATAGGTCCGGTGCAGTAGTCTAGTGGCTACAGTCCTCGCGTTGCATGTGTTCATATCGCAAATGCCCCGCTTCTCATCCAGCTCCCTGCTTGTGGCCTGGGAAGGCGATCAAGGAAGGGCCAAAGCCTTGGGACCCTGCATCCATGTAGGAGACCCAGAAGAGCCTCCTGGCTCCTGGCTAGGGAGCAGCTCAGCTCTGGCTGTTGCGGCCACTTGGGGAGTGAACCAGTGGATGGAAGATCTTTCTGTCTGTCTCAGTTTCTCTTTGTAAATCTGACTTTAAAATAAAAATAAACAAACCTTTAAAAAAATTAACATAGGTAAAAACTTAATAATAAATTAAGAAATGGAACCTATCAAAATATAAGGTATGTTGTTTGTCCTGATAGCTGTTATTTGCATCCTAGCACAGTGATTTCCAAATCCAATTTTTCCATAAATTGTCTAAGCTATCTCCACATATGGTTATCACTAAATTCAGAACATGAGACCATTTTAAAAATAGTACCAAATAGTTAAAAGAAAGGAATCCGGTATTCACTGGGTGCCTCTGAAGTGATTCAGGTACTATATTAAACATCAGACACACTCTATCTTTAAATGAATTTGACTAACATAATTATCTACATGTTCCAGAAAATGGACAATTAAGACTCAGAGACCTTAAATGACTAATAAATGCAGAGCTCACATTAAAACCCAGATCTGAATCCAAAGTCCACATCTTTTCCATAACACACTGAGAAAATATTTTAAAAACATAAGTTAGACAGTGCCAGCTGGAGACACTCACAGGCACCCCTGTAGAAGCTTGGCATGCCAGACAAAGAGCACCCTATAGTAAAACACAGTTCCCAGCTAGCACCCAGGCCAGGAGGGACGCAGGAAGAACCAAGGAGGGATCCAGGAGGGATTCTGGAGGAGGGATCCAGGAGGGACCGAGGAGAGACCAGGAGAGACCGAGGAGAGACCCAGGAGGGAACCAGGAGGGACCCAGAAGGGACGCAGGAGGGACCCAGGAGGGATGCAGGAGGGACCCAGGAGGGACTCAGGAGGGACCCAGGAGGGACCGAGGAGGGACCGAGGAGGGACCTAGGAGGCCGTTCGGCAAGCTGTTCTAGTGAGGCTTGTTGCTTCTCAGTTTTCTTCTTCTCACATAGGTTTACTTAAGGTAATCCGCAAACAGTGCTAGCAAATACATGCTGGAGGGCCGTGCATTTTTTATTACCATGCTACAGAAATGACTCGGGAATTATTTACAGACAACGAAAATACCAATCTGCAGTAATACTAACTCCTCTCTGCCAAACTGTAACTCAAAAAGCTGAAACTTCCTCAGCCATTCGCTCTCCCTGGATACGGGTCTTCATCTTCCTGCTGGGTCACATTCTCCCCTTGTGGATACTTGCTCCCTTCTCCCCCTGTATTATTTAGTCCACAGCTAGGAGACAACGCTAATGGGAAAGGCAACAAAAACAGTCGTATTGCAGCAGCTGTAAAACAGCTGTCATTTTTCCACAACGGAGGTTACTGCCTTTTGGGAATCTGAAATGATCCCTGCGTGGAGCAAGGAAATCATCCTGCAGAGCACTTTAAGCGGAAAGGTGCTGGAGCAGCTCAGCTGTTATTGATGGAGCCCCCGAGGTGGGGAAGTCACCCCGTTTGGAGCCCCAGTCTGCCGGCATCCCTGAGGGAGCAATTTGGCACCGCCATGAAAGAGTCTCAGCTGGATGTGATTGCTCTGAGTCCCCAATTTAATTTCAATCACCCAGCCAAGAGACAGACACCATCCTTCAGAATAACAGACTACCACAGACTTGACTGCAGGGCATCCTGGGAAGTTTATCCTCGTCTCTTCCTCCCCATCTTCCCCTCCCAAAGAAAACCAACATGATCTAAACAATTATCTAACATTGGGGCTTACAGCTGCATCAAGGGTGTTAAGTATTATAAAACAGAGCAGTGGAGGTTGCTTTGTGTTTTATAAGAAGAGTTTCAATGAGAAACATTCTCACAAACATTGCTAACTACGGAGATTCCCAAGAAATCAACACCACAGGTTCGCTGCTGCCACCGAAAGCCATTCCCGAAGACGACCTGGACTCTTCCCCGTGAGAGCCCTTCACGACGTCTGGCTTCTGCGTCACCACCTCCAGGCCCACAACACCGCCAGCCAGAGGAATACTACACTGCAACCAAATGCGCTTACGAGCAATCAACTGCAGGAAGCGGGAACAGAACGTCCTCAAATCACGAACAACAACATAAGAGGTGAATTATGATTTTTTTTTTCCAGAAAATTATCACCAAGCTCTTCTCTCCACCTTCCCCCACCCCCACACTCTCCCACTCCTGGGGAGAGAGCAGTCTTCCTTTTCTGAATCTTCCATTCTTTAACGCGTAGCACAAATCATACACCAACTCACTGAAGCTTTTCCTAACCCTAAAGTACAAAATGGTTTCTTAATCTGCAACATGAATTCGGCAGACAGAAAAGCAGTCCCTTAAACAGAACGGGAACTCTCCTGACCCACCAAGAGATCCAGGGAAGATTCTTCTCTCAACCCTGGTGCAACAATGTCTCAGAATTATCAAAACCATTCAAGAAACGCCCTTGGAACACTCTTCCCCACATCCGGGTCTGTAAGTCATCAAATGTCCTCCATTCCTGGGTGCAGATGTAGTTTGACAAGAGCAATTCCCTCCCTCCTGCTGCACAAAAAGGGAAAAAAAAAAAAAAAAAGAATGGAAACATTTAGCTCATCTACCTTCCTCCATGCCTCCTCTGCACCCTAAGGATATGCATCCCTCTCAACTACAAGATCAATATTAAAATCTAAAACAGTAGTGCTCGCTTCAGCAGCACATATACTAAAATCTAAAACAATAAAGACGGGCCCGAAGTGGCTCAAGTCCTTGCCTGGTACACGCCGAGATCCCATATGGGTGCCAGTTCTAATCCTGGCTGCTCCGTTTCCCATCCAGCTCCCTGCTTGTGGCCTGGGAAAGCAGTTGAGGGCAGCCCAAAGCCTTGGAACTCTGCACCTGCGTGCAAGACCCGGAAAAGGATCCTGGCTCCTGGCTTTAGATCAGCTCAGCTCTGGCCGTTGCGGCCACTTGGGGAGTGACTCATCCAACTGAAAAGCTTCCTCTCTGTCTCTCCACCTCTCGGTATATCTGACTTTCCAATAAAAATAAATATAAAAAAAAAAAGATTGCAAGCATCCTAAAAAAAAAAATCTCATACTGATTTTCTATGTCCAAACTATATATATATATATATATTTTTTTTTTTTCTCTCTCTCTCTAAATAGTGAAACAAAAACCTCACTGTCCTCAACAACTACAGGAGCCTCCCTCTCCGATCCTCGCCCACTACACTTTCACATTTCACAGAGCTGCAGCCATAGGTTACACACAACTTTGCGTTGTACCATCACGGCCCAAAGAACAGCTCTTGGAATCGTTGAACTCACTAGGACAATAAGATGCTGGACTTTGTGCCTGGTAAATACTTCCAACGAAAGAACCTCAACTGAATTTGAACCGTGGTAATGCAGCAAGGTGGAGAAATCCACCATGGGGAGAGGGTTCGGGGAGGAGTGGGGGGAATCCCAGTGCCCATAACACTGCATTACATAATGCAATACAATTAATAAAAAATAAATAAAGTTAATTGAATCCTCAAATTAAAAAAAAAAAAAAAACAGCTCTTGGCTTCAGCATTTCTCTTCTCCCGGCCTGTAGGTAACTCCCACATAGTTCAGCCCTGAATCTCGCATGAGGTCACTCCCTGTTCTCCCAGCGTTTCCTCAATGTCACACAGAGGGGCCTTGTCCCAGCACCCTCACACTGCACACACTCCGGCTTTCGGTTGCTTTAGCGCACTAACAGATACCTCATTAGCTTACTGTCTCCACAGCTGAAGTTCTACCCGGCTCCCTGCGGAGCCCCTGGCACCCGACACCATGGCCTGACACTTGGCAAAATGACTGACATTGCAAGGAACATCCCTTTGGGCCGTATTTTTTTCTTCTTCTTCTTTCAAGGGCCTGTGTGCCTTAGAATAGATTTCCAAGCTGGGATTACTGCATCGGCGTGTTAAAATCGCGGACGGATCTTTACAATTACCAGGACATTTTCCAAAATTGGTGTGCTACCATACGGTACTCCCAACAGGTGCACAGCCCTACCAGCCCCACCCCCTATCCATCAGCCCCCAATAAACCGCAGGCTTCCTAAAGGCCAAAGTAAATTCCTCTCCTACTTGACACCTTGCACTTAGAAAACACACCTGTTGGATTACAGGAAAGGTGTGTTGTCTGACACCTTCACTAACTTAAACTTGATTTTCAAGCTCTAGAGAAAGACTTAAAAAAAAAAAAACTTTTCTCCCCTTGCCCAAGGGTCTCCTGCCGCGGAGAGGAGCGTCCCACGAACGCGTCTCGCCCGTTCCCGGCAGAGGCTGAGGGCGAGGCTGGGGAGCCGGGGAGCCGGGGTCGGGAAGGCGAGGCCGGGACGCCGGGGCCGGGGAGCCGGGGCCGAGACGCCGCGGTTGGGGAGCCGGGGTTGGGGAGCCGGGGTCGGGGAGGCGAGGCCGGGACGCCGGGGTCGGGGAGCCGGGGTCGGGGAGCCGGGGCCCACGACGCCCCCACAGCCACAGGGACCCACGACGCCCCCACAGGCACGCACCGGCTCTCCCCTCCCACAGACGGCCCCCCGTGAGGCCCGCCTCCCACTCCGACGCGGGGCCGGCCCGGCTCTAACGCCCACCACACCCCACACGCCGCAAGCTCCCGGGGCTCACCTGGCCGCGCACTCCGGGCCTCGGGGACGCCTCGCTCCGGCCCCCGCGCCTCACCCAACCGCGCCGCGCCGCCGGCTCAGTTTGAATTCCAGCATCGGCCAATCACAGAGACATTTATTCCTCCCACGCCGCCCCTCGGCGTTCCGTCGCGTGCGTCGGGGCTACGCAGAGAGGGCGGGAATAGGAATGCGCAGGCGTTTTCTATACAGACGCCCGTGGTCGCCATCTTTAGTAAGGTCAACGGTTTTTTTCTGCCGGCGCCCTTTCCTGAAGTCATTCAGGTTGCCATGTTGACTAAGGGCAAGTGTATCTTTTGAATGTATATTAATCTTGGCCTTCATGTCTTTGACCAGGCAGGGAAATAGGGCTGCTGGATACTAGTAATTGAACAATGCCGGGCCTACAATAGGAACAATTCCAGAAGCTGGTAGAACAGTCATTTTCCACTGTGGAGGGGTGGGGAAGGGTGACAGAAGATGTTTGACAACCAGTACCAAAACACAGATGGCATAGAGCAATCGTACCCTTTATACTAAGAAATAGAGGGGCAGGAGTTTCTAAACACTGGATGGGGAAGTGGAAAGACTGACACCCTGGCTGTATGCATGTGTTGAAGTATTGTGAGGCTCTCCCACTGGTTTATGTGAAGGCCGAGTATGTGCTGGGCAGAGCCAGGCTGAACTGCAACACCCATTGGTTCCAGTGGAAGTCAGGCCTGAAAACAGAACCAACTCAGCAACTGCAACCACCAGCTGATTGCCTGGGCGATGGACTGTGCCGGGCCCTGTACTTGCTAACACACACAAGAATCTGGTCTGGGAACACCTCAGACAAAGTTTCTTTGGGATCTCCCCAATCCAAATGCTGGACTCAGAACCCTATCCATGAAAAGACAGAAGACAGAATAAGTCAATCAACCACCTCAGCTATATGTTGGCAGTGAGACATTGGGCAAATGGAGACTCTAAGATGGACCGTGTCAATCAGTGTTTTTCTTCAACGACCTCATCGTGCTTGGAATGGCGAGATTGGCAGCAATTCATAACTGGTGAACTATCAAAACCACTTGAGCAAGACCCTTGGAGCATGCCCCACATCGGGGACCTGGGATGGGTGGGAGGCTGGGTGGGGCTTCTCCCTCAATATCCCCCTTTACCTCAGATACATGAAGGAAACAATATGGTAATAATAGTCTCAGCCACTTTCCTGTAGCCCTTGAACCTTTTTACCTTATTAACTATGTAAATATTGTCAAAAATATAATTTAAAAATGAAAAAAAAAAGAAATCTTGTGAGGCACCCCATCCTGGCATACATGCATTGATTAAGCAAATAATATTCACTGCCTCATTCCTTCACTCAGTGACGTGTTCATTCAGGCTTCCATCTGACACACAATGAGTGCACCAACATCATATAACAATCCTCTGCTAAGGATCAGAAAATGTAAGGTGATCATGGCCTCTACTTAAAAAAAAAAAAAAGATTTATTTATTTTTATTGGAAAGGCAGATATACAAAGAGGAGGAGAGACAGAGAAGATCTTCCATCCGCTGGTTTACTCCCCAAGTGGCTGCAACAGTCAGAGCTGAGCCAATCTGAAGCTAGGAGCCAGAAGCTCTTCTGGATCTCCCACATGGGAGCAGGGTCCCAAGACTTTGGGCCGTCCTCGACTGCTTTCCGAGGCCACAAGCAAGGAGATGGATGGGAAACAGGGCTGCCGGGATTAGAACCGACGCCCATATGGGATCTCAGCGTGCAAGGCAAGGACTTTAACCACTATGCTATTGCATCGGGCCCCAATGACCTCTACTTTGCCATAGTCACAAATGGAGGAGAAACTTAAGGAAATAAAAATAGATACAAAATAAAGTGCTGTAATTCAATGTAAACATTTATTTTATTTTTATTAGAAAGTCAGACATGCATAGAGGAGGAGAGACAGGAAGGTCTTCTGTCCGTTGATTCATTCTCCAAGCAGCTGCAACAGCCAGAGCTGTGTTGATCTGAATTCAGAAGGCAAGAGCCTCTTATGGGTCTCCAAAGCAGGTGCAGGATCCCAAGGCTCTGAGCAGTCCTTGACTGCTTTCCCAAGCCACAAGCAGGGAGCGGGGCCTCAGGGATTAGTACCGGAGCCCATATGGGATCCCAATATATTCAAGGCGAGGACTTCAACCACTAGGCTACCGTACTGGGCCCTGTAATTTCATTAATAAGCAAATTTTAGAACTCAGCCTGTGATACGTGCATCCCATACGGATGCTGATTTGTGTCCTTGCTACTCCACTTCAGATCCAGCTCCTTGCTAATGGCCTAGGAAAAGCAGTGGAAGACAGTCCACTTTTTTGGGTCCCTGCACCGCTATAGAAGACCCAAATCAAACGCTTGACTACTAGCTTGGCCCAGCCCAGCCCTGGTCATTGCAGAGTGAATGGAGAGATAGGCAATCGCTCTCTGTCCCTCCTTTCTCTGTAGCTCTAAATCAATCAAGCAAGCAATCAATCTTTTAAAAATAGCAGTCAATCAACCAGACTTTATAGATGGAAAACCGGATGGACTGATACAGGCAGCAGTGCAGCGCGTCCGGGCGGCAGACAATGCATGCCCTGCAATATTATCACATTCCACCTCTCCTACCTCTTCCCACTGTGAGACAAAAATACGACCGTCTCAATCTCATCTGCTTATTCTTAAATCTGAGATGGTATGTGGTACATGGTCAAAGTTTGTACTTGCAGCAGTTGTATAGGATGCTATCAATATTATTAGGAAAGGGATTTAAAAAAAAAGAAATATTAAGTGTACATGTATTATCATATTTAATCCCCCAACAGCCTTGCACGGTTAGGAGCACTCACTCACTGACTGCGTTAGTTCCAGCTCCTTATTCGCCCGAAAGACCACAGACGAGAAAGCAATTAATCCAATCTGGTGAGTGGGAGTGTGGGAAAGGCTTAAGAAACTTGATATCTGAAGTGTGGATAGGAATTTACCAGAAAGGGAAGGTGGCAGATTCCCGACCAGGGGAAGATCATGAAGGGTTGGGGTTGTGCGGGAACACTACCCTCGATTTTCTTTCTTTTTTATTTATTTATTTTTTAAGATCTATTTTTATTTTTATTGAAAGGCAGATATACAGAGAGGAGAGAGACAGAGAGGAAGATCTTCCCTCCAATGATTCACTCCCCAGGTGGCCGGAACAGCTGGAAGCCAGGAGCCTCTTCCTGGTCTCCCATGCAGGTGCAGGGTCCCAAAGCCTTGGGCCATCCTCCTCAACTGCTTTCCCAGGCTCCAAGCAGGTAGCTGGATGGGAAGCAGGGCTGCTGGGATTAGAACCGGCGTCCATATGGGATCCCAGGCGTGCAAGGCGAGGACCTTAACCACTGCACCATCTCACCGGGCCCTACCCTCGATTTTCAAGAGATATTTCAACGGGTTGAGGCACCTTGCGCAGCTTCAGGAAGGAAAAAGAGAAACAGACAAAGTAAGTTAGGATTAGACCTTGCCCAGAAACGACAACGTTTGCAGCTGATTTCATTAACTTATATTTTGGATAGAATATGTTAAGATGGCCTGAGGGTGCACTGATGAGGGGAAAGCCTGAAACAGGGAGACTCTCAGTTGATAGCAGGAATGACACAGACAGGACAAGTGGGGAAGATCTACAATGAGCAGAACAGATAGTATTCAATGAGTGAAATAGATGTGTGACGTGATTGGACCTCCAGGATGAGGGAGAAAAGAGAACACACAGCCACAGCTTTCCCCTTCCAATCCCGGAGTGCAATTCCCAAGAATGTGGCTTTCGCTCTCCCTGCCTTCCGCACCCTAGTCCAAATTCAGTAGTCTGGTAACTGGAGATACTGTCGACCCTTTCAGGGGACTCTTAAAAATTCAGTTGGCTCAATTGGCTCAGTACTCATCTTGAATGCACCAGCATCCTACACGGGCGCTGGTTCGTGTCCTGGCTATTCTACTTCCCATCCAGCTCTCTGCTTATGGTCTGAGAAAGCAGTAGAGGATGGCTCAAGTTCTTGGGTCACTGAACCCACATGCGAGACCTGAAAGAAGCTCCTGGCTCATAGCTTTGGACAGACACAGCTCCGGCCATTGCAACCATTTGGAGAGTGAACCATCAGATGGAAAATCTGTCTGAGTCTCCCTTTCTCTCTATAAATTTGTCTTTCAAATAAAAATAAATAAATATTTAAAAAGAAAGTCCAATTCTAGATCCTGGGAGTGGTCATTTGACCCACCAGTTAGATACATGAATTTGGGGTGTCTGGGTTTCATTCCCAGCTCAGTCTCAGTTCCAGCTTCCTGCCAGTGGTCACTCCCGCCCGAGGGGCAAGTACTTGGGTTCTTGCCAGCCACGTGAGAGACCTGGTTGAGTTCCTGGTCCCAGTCCTACCATTGAAGGATACTGAACCAGTAAGTGGGAATTCTCTTTCTTCTCTCTCTTATTTCTTTCTCTGTCTTTCTCCTCTCCAATAAATAATCTTTAATACAGAAAAGTGTTAAATGTGGGGCTGGTGGGCCCGGTGCTGTAGATTAGTGGCTAAAGTTCTCGCCTTACATGGCCCAAGATTCCATTTGAGCGTCGGTTCTAATCCTGGTAGCCCTGCTTCCCATCTAGCTTCCTGCCTGTGGCCAGGGAAAGCAGTCAAAGACGGCCTAACCAGAAGAGAATGGAGCAACATATTCCAGGTTACAAAAACAAAAAAATTGTCAGCCCAGATTAACATGCCCAGCAAAACTTTCCTTTGTCTTTGACAATGAAATAAAATTCTTCCACAGTAAGAATGAGATCGGGTGCGTTCAGGGTGGTATGGCCGTAAAGAAAACTTAAAAGAATATGCCTCTTCCATACCTGTCCTACAAAGGATACTTAAACAAGTTCCCTTGACAGAGAAAAGAAATAGTGCCCACCAAAACCAAAGGCAAATGCGAAGAACATCCCAGTAAAATAACAACAGAAGACTAAATCAATGAACAACCCATTGCTGAAATGACAGGACTAAATTACCACCTATTTGCATCAACCTTGAATGTAAATGGCTTAAACTCATCAATCA